CTGTCCCCCCGCTCTTCCAGTTCCGTTGCACAGCCTGTGATGTCACACGGCACGGATGCCTAACACTTTCAGAGACACACAGGGTTCTATTTTTACACCTGGTTCTTCTCACTTAGAGTGGGGCTGCTATACCACTGACTGGTAGTGATACATACACTGAGGGAGGGAGGGAGAGAGGAGAGCTCTAGTCTTCCTCTTGGCATTAGACTGGCATCTAGAGATTAAACGGTCTGTAAAACCCATCCGGGCCCTGTTAACGGTTCACTTTACAGTTTCAGTTTAACAGGAAGGCTACCATAGAATAAATATCCAAATGGCTTAGCTACCGCACTCTGGTCACTGTTGTAGCTTAGCTACCGCACTCTGGTCACTGTTGTAGCTTAGCTACCGCACTCGGGTCACTGTTGTAGCTTAGCTACCGCACTCGGGTCACTGTTGTAGCTTAGCTACCGCACTCGGGTCACTGTTGTAGCTTAGCTACCGCACTCTGGTCACTGTTGTAGCTTAGCTACCGCACTCTGGTCACTGTTGTAGCTTAGCTACCGCACTCGGGTCACTGTTGTAGCTTAGCTACCGCACTCGGGTCACTGTTGTAGCTTAGCTACCGCACTCGGGTCACTGTTGTAGCTTAGCTACCGCACTCGGTCACTGTTGTAGCTTAGCTACCGCACTCGGTCACTGTTGTAGCTTAGCTACCGCACTCGGGTCACTGTTGTAGCTTAGCTACCGCACTCGGGTCACTGTTGTAGCTTAGCTACCGCACTCGGGTCACTGTTGTAGCTTAGCTACCGCACTCGGGTCACTGTTGTAGCTAAAACATTTTATAGGACAAATGTTGAGAGCGATTAAGCCAACCCCCTATGTCTTACCCCATAGTTGTGCACGTGTCACTTTTGTTGCTAAACAACCAACCCGTCTATTGACAACGACAGGCTACATTGCCTGCTCCTCCCCCTATCTGATAGTGGTAGTGGGGTGGTAACGTCTAGTCTCCATTATGGCTCTAATCTGATAGTGGTAGTGGGGTGGTAACGCCTAGTCTCCATTATGGCTCTAATGTGATAGTGGTAGTAACGTCTAGTCTCCATTATGGCTCTAATCTGATAGTTGTAGTGGGGTGGTAACGCCTAGTCTCCCTTATGGCTCAGATCAGCTTGCCTACATAGTATACACCATAGACATACATCATTCACACACACACACCCAGCTCAGAGAGACCCAGCTCAGAGACCCAGCTCAGAGAGACCCACCCAGCTCAGAGACCCAGCTCAGAGAGACCCACCCAGCTCAGAGAGACCCAGCTCAGAGAGACCCACCCAGCTCAGAGACCAAGCTCAGAGACCCAGCTCAGAGAGACCCACCCAGCTCAGAGAGACCCAGCTCAGAGAGACCCACCCAGCTCAGAGACCCAGCTCAGAGACCCAGCTCAGAGACCCAGCTCAGAGAGACCCACCCAGCTCAGAGACCCAGCTCAGAGAGACCCACCCAGCTCAGAGAGACCCAGCTCAGAGAGACCCACCCAGCTCAGAGACCAAGCTCAGAGAGACCCACCCAGCTCAGAGAGACCCAGCTCAGAGACCCAGCTCAAAGAGACCCACCCAGCTCAGAGACCCAGCTCAGAGAACCAGCTCAGAGACCCAGCTCAGAGACCCACCCAGCTCAGAGACCCAGCTCAGAGACCCATCCAGCTCAGAGAGACCCAGCTCATGAGCTCCATCAGCAGCAGATTTGAATTTAGAATGGGAAATTAATGTATTTATGCAGCAAATGTTAGTGCATAGAATCGTATCGAATTTCCATCCCACGCTTTTCATTCTCGAAAATGAATATATATATATATATATAAACTCAGCAAAAAAAGAAATGTCCCTTTTTCAGGACCCTGTCTTTCAAAGATAATTCGTAAAAATCGGGGGGGGGGGGGGGGGGAGAGAAAGGGCTTATTATCACTGAATAAAGTTATCAGGACGAAATTTCAATTGACATAATATGTACATACACTTTTCAATTCACATTAGTGACGGGAATGTCACGAGCCGAGAGAGGGTTCGGTTGACGTTCTTGCGTCGCAGCTCAAAAGTACCGTAAATGTCACAGTAGCCACTAGCCTGGAAGAGAACCATTGCAAACTATTCTACTAGCTAATGTTAAAGGGACATTTCAAAAATGTTCTACTTCATAATCTCCAGCACCACCACAACATCAACATATGTGAAAATGGCGCGTTTCTATATTTTGTACAGAAAAATATATATTCCTCAATCTTTTTCTGTACAAAATATAGAAACGCGCCATTTTCACATATGTTGATGTTGTGGTGGTGCTGGAGATGATGAATTCTGAAATGTTCCTTTAAGTAAGCAACTCTTCCATATTACACTCTTGAATAAAGCAACAATTCACAAGCATGTACAGAGAATTAAAGGGTTTCAGGGCCTAAAATGTACGTTTTGTTCACTAGCCACCGTGGCAGGTAGGATTTTTTTTTAACTACAAGCCACTCAGATTTTTTAACAGCCAAAATATTTTGGGGCCATAATTACTATTAAAAAAAACTGATGACCATGCTTTGTTATGTTTCTAAAACAAGAAATGTATTAGTAAGAAGTAATGTGGTATAATGCTCAATTTCATTAAATTTTTTGTGACTTGAGTCTTTTAACCAAAATGTTCAGCTGCCCCTTTAAGGGTGTGAGGTTACCGTGGTAATGGGGTCACTCGAGTCACGTCACGTGTGTCTGTGTGTGTGAGATTTGGGATGTGACTAGTAGTAAGTAGACAGCGTCTACAGTAGCGTTTCCCAAACTTGGTCCTTGGGACCCGAAGGGGTGCAAAACAATGTAAATAGCCAAGAAACACTTGGACAAAGTCTTACTTTGTTGACTTGGGTAAATTAGACAAACATTTATGCCTGTGCCAGCGCTTCCAAAAACAAATCTATCAGCGCTTCACTTACAGTGCGCAAAGCTGTAAGATTCGTATTTCTTTGTGCGATTAGCAGCTATGAAACAAAACAGAAGAAATACTTTGAAAACGGCTACTAAAATCGCACATATGCTCATACTTTACTTTTGACTCTATTTTTATTCACAAATGCGAATGTAATGCTCGCACTGTAGGGCCACCCGCCAACGTGGCTAGTGAAATAGCCATTCTTACTCACCAATACCTAAATCTACCCTCATTTGGCGGGTTTCAATTTTATGCCCTGAAGGGTTTCTTTTCTCCTCTGTACACTCATTACATTTTACCTTCAAGACAATATCACAGTTACTGCTAGCTAAAGCTAACATGTCTTTAGTAACGTTAGCCTATCAAAAATGAACGATTACCCCTCTAATACCAATATAAAGTAGGTCTACCTTACAACAAACCATACTTTATTTTTTTTATCAACATCATGCAAGTTATTAGGCTCAGGCTACATGTGGTAAAAGCAAATTGCGACTGAAAACGTGGGTAGGCTATAATTCACCGGGGAGTTGAGCTGTTCTATATGGAAGGTCATTCCCGCCACCCAAAAATATAATAAATACTGTACATATAGATGATATGTATCTTTATTTGTAGCATTGTGTGGCGATTTCCATCTATCCACGTGGCAGAGATCAGCACAGCAGGGCTGCTGGCAAACGTGTGGCGAGCTGGCATTACCCCCAGTACTTTTGATTTGGTTGAATAAAAAATATTGACACAAAAGTGTTGAAAAGAGGGATAAAGTACTGTTGTTTGGATTGATTCGCCTCATGAATTGTTTGACATGATTTTTATGTTTTCATGCTCCCTAGGGCCAGGAGTTTTTTTTATTTTTTTTAAAATACCCTACCCCCATTCTGTGACCTGTGGTGCCACCTCTGAAATGACCAAACAATGTTAGAAATGAAGAAAAAAAAATACATATTTGTATGATCTACCATCTCAATATGTTGACTTACGTTTCTCAAAATGTTGACTTACATATGTCAACACTTTGAGATAGCATCACCAGTATTAAAAAAAAAAAGATGTTGGTGCAAGGAATGGGCTTCCATAGTTTTCCATGGCTCAGAGCAGCCGGCAGCTACGGCAACATGTTCAGAATGTAACAGGCTGTTACTGCAATTTCAGGTAAAACCTCAATAAAACAAGTCTCAAATATAAGGAAAATGTCTATACATTTGAGCTGTTTCAGAAACATTGCTCTGCTATTTCCCATTTTACTGTAGGAGCTTTGAGCTCAACGAGACAATTCTGTTCACACTGCCCTGATCGGAGGGGGGGGGGGGGGGGGGGGGGGGGGGGGCAACTGTCGGGCGTGTGTCGTGCGCAACCCTCGGGAGGTAGCGCTCGAGATGTGATAATTTCGCAAGTTTACACAACAGTACTGTGTCTGGAGAACCTTGTGAAAACGTCCCTTTGCTATCACCAATGTGAAAACAGCCTGAAGAAAGAAAGTGTCTGGCAGGTACAGACAGAGTCAGAGAAAGAATGATGAATTGAAAGACAAAGACAATGTCCTTGGTTTGACACCATACTGACCTGGTGCTAATGGCCCATTCACACTGGAGCTCTCTATATTCAACCTGACCTGGTGCTAATGGCCCATTCACACTGGAGCTCTCTATATTCAACCTGACCTGGTGCTAATGGCCCATTCACACTGGAGCTCTCTATATTCAACCTTTTGGGGGGAGTAGGTACAGAAGACAGGATAATCTTTCCCCACGACAGATGGTACCTTTAGGACTTAGGGTCTCATTATAAGAGGCTTTTATGTGAAAGGGGTATAAAATGCTGATGACACAGTCGGTGTGTGGAGATCTAATATTTCAATGCAGCAGGTATCTAGAACACCTGCAGTTTGTAGAGCTGGCCTTTCATTTGTCACCATCTGAGAGCCCATTAAAACAGCTGGAGGAGCCCAGACAGGCTCTAGACTCAGTCCCCATCCCTCCCCCTCTGCACCATCCCCTCACGGCAGGGGCACCTCCACGGTGTACCCCTCACCAAGGTACTCACAGCAGGGGCACCTCGACGACTAGGTGCACCAGGTTACACATTAGCTCCTCTAGCAGGTCCTCGCTCCCCGTGTCTGCAGAATGAGAGAGAGAGAGAGAGAGAGAGAGAGAGAGAGAGAGAGAGAGAGAGAGAGAGAGAGAGAGAGAGAGAGAGAGAGAGAGAGAGAGAGAGAGAGGAGAGAGACAGAAGTTTAGCCAATTACCTAGCCTGTCTCTGCTTTCACCCACCTTTCAATTAGACCAGCCAATAGCTACAATGACCCCCCTACTCGACTACAAAGAGTACTTTGTGTCCATTTGGGTTCAATGGAAAAACGTGGAGAGTGGAGACCCAAGCTCACCTCACAGGAAAACCTACGCACATGAGAAGACCGCAAGGTACAGTGGGGTGGCTCTGTTGGATGCATGGCCTTGATAGCTATTAAATATACACTCAGTGGCCAGTTTATTAGGTCTAGTACCGGGTCTAATCCCTCTTTACCTCCAGAACAGCTTGATTTCTTCTGGGAATGGAAACATTGCTCAACTGGTAACGAGGGAACTAATGTTCCCCACACCATTACACCACCGCCAACAGCCTGTACCGTTGACACCAGCCAGGATGGGGCCATGGATCAGGGCCTAAAATTGACACCCACCAGCTGCGTGTAGATTTTGGCATTGGCGGGTAAGATGTCTGTTTCACCAGCCACGTTGGCGGGTGGTCAGGGCTCCACAGCGCTAGTATTTCACTCGCATTTGTGAATAAAAAGTCAAATATGATCACATTTATAGTAAAATAAATGCTGCAGTAGCTGTTTTCAAAGTATTTCTGCCGTTTCTGTTTCATAGCTGGTAAATAAATCGCACAAAGTAAAAGACTAGGAATCGTATATTGCTTATCCCACCTCGCACGGCAACGCTGGGGGGCTGTGAGCATGTGAAGAGCTGAGTAACGAATCATTTTTAGATGTGCTGCACACAGACATAACAGTTGGTCTAATTTACTTTTAACTAAAGTCTACCCATGTTGTCCAACATTTTATACTTTTGACTCATCTGTCCATAGAACATTCTTCCAAGAGTCTTAACGATCATCCAGGTGCTTTTTGGCAAACTTGAGTCAACTTTTTGGACAAGATGGGTCCCATTATGTCTGGCGAAAACCATAGTAAAAACCTCATACCAACGGTCAAGCATGGTGGTGGTAGTGTGATGGTTTGGAGATGTTTTGCTGCCTCAGGACCTGGACAAATTGCCTTAATAGAAGGAACCATGAATTCTGCTCTGTATCAGAGAATTCTACAGGAGAATGTCAGACCATCCGTCTGTGAGCTGAAGCTGAAGCGCAGCTGGGTCATGCAGCAAGACAATGATCCAAAACACACAATCAAGTCTACATTAAAATGGTTAAAAGCAACACATTTGAAGTTTTGGAATGGCCTAGCCATTTCCAGACCTAATCCCTATTGAGATATTGTGGCAGGACTTGGAACGACCAGTTCATGCTTGAAAACCCACAGTTAAAGCAGTTCTGCATGCAAGGGTGGGACAAAATTCCTCCACAGCGATGTGAGAGACTGATCAACAACTACAGGAAGCATTCGGTTGAGGTCATTGCAGCTAAAGGTAGCACAACCAGTTATTGAGTGTAAGGGGGCAATTACTTTTTCATAAGGGAATTGGGTGTTGCATAACTTTTATTAAATAAATAAAATAAATATACATTCTTTTTTTTGTATTTGTAAACTCAGGTTCCCTTTATCTAATATTAGGTTCTGATAACATTCAGTAGAAAAAATATGCAAAAGTAGAAAAAAATCGCAAGGGGGAAAATACTTTTTCACAGCACTGTACCAGATTACTTCTTACTTGTAATACATTTATTGTTTTAGAAACATTACAAAGCATGCTCATCCTTTTTTTGTGTTTTGTTGGGGTAATTTTAGCGCCAAAAACGATTTTAGCTGGTAAAAAATCTGAGTGGCTGGTAGATGTTTTTGATCTACCTGCAGGTGGACCAAAAAGTAACATTTCACTCTGCCATCAGCATGATGCAACAGGAACTGGGAACAATGTCGTGCGTGAAAAGCACAGGTTAGTCTGCTTTATACAGCAAGCCACGGCCACGTGACTCATTGTCTGTAGGAGCTAACGATTTTTGTCAATGGGCTGGTGTACCTAATAAACTGACAACTGATTGTATATATGCTCTGAGCTATGGCAACAGAGACGAGAAACGGGCGGTCTTGTAGATCGTTTTATCATGGCAACGTCCATTTATCGTTTACCTGCTGTGATTGACCGTAAGGGTCTCTGGATATATTAGGGATGTGCATCTTTCCCTTTCAAGACGACTCGATACGTATACGTGAGCTCCGTACAGCAACGATTCAGTTTGAAACGATTCAGTTTGATTAGAGAACGAATCAGTGCGACACGATTCGATGCACTAACATTTGCTGCATCAACACATTAATTTTCCATTTTAAATTCATATCTGCTGCTGATGGAGCTCATGAGCTGGGTCTCTGAGCTGGATCTGTCTGAGCTGGATCTGTCTGAGCTGGGTCTCTGAGCTGGATCTGTCTGAGCCGACTTCTGTGTGTGTGTAGTCTGTGTTTTATTGTCCCCCCACTTTGGTTCTGAAATCCCCATCACCCACTAATTCACCTGTCATTTTTTGCAGATTGTGTTGGAGCTAGTAATGTATCAATATTTATCATTTACAAATTAGCCATGACATAGCCAATGAATATATAGCACAACATTGGATTTCATCCCAACTCAAAAATCAAATGGTTTTGACCGTTTGGGAGTGATCTTCTCTTCTCCTCTGTGGTTGCTGTTCTCGTTATGAAATTATCAACTTTACCCTGTATAGTCTATCAAAAAATGACCATATACACCGATTGTTTAAAGCAAAACTACCAAAACGATTGCTGATGGTGAACCTGAACAATCAAAATAGAATCTATTGTAATCCCCATTCAGCAGGTATAGTCAGATGAGAGTTGTCTCCGGTAGCTTACTTTCAACAGCGGATAGATGACAATTACCTAGCAAATTACACAGGTTGTCACTCAACTAATAAAGCCTAATATCAAGCAAGCCATTTTAGCATTTGAATGCTGAAGGTGCCGCGCAGATGTGCAAGATCAGGAACAGGCCGTTAGTCTGCGCGCGAAACTGGGAACAGTGCACAGTTTGACTAAGCTACTGATATTGCCTGGGGTTGTTCAGAATGCAAAATGACTTGTAGGTCAATGACTGTCAACACAGTTACATGCTCAGTTCAACACTGAAGGAGAGGACGCATCAGTTGTCACAAAAGATGAGAGGTATTTTCGGAAGGTAGAAAGAATGTAATATGAGCAAAACATTTTAGTGAACCGGCGATTCGTAACTTTTGAATTGATTTTCTGACCGATGCACGCTACATTTCGATCGGTTTGGGGTCCAAGGACCGATGCACTTGTATCTTAAACATTTGAATCGGGGACCGATGCGTATCAGTGAATCGTTACATCCCTAGGATATATGTTTTGTTATCTTTACAGTTCACTTCAAATTGACCTTGTAATGGACACAAGTACCAAACACTGTTTTATAAAGCATCCTATGCATATTCAATGTTACTCTCTGCATGTTAAATTTCCTGTGACTACTAGACTATTCCCTGTCTACACATTCATCAGTCTGTGTTATAGAACAGCAACATAGACAGGCAACATAAATCACAAGCAGAAAAACAAAAACAACACTCTGCTCTGAGTCAGTTTTGGTCCCTGCATAACCCCTGGCAATACACCATTGGCATTTTCCCCCTCCTTCCCTTCTATCCTTCCCTCCCACTTCTCTTTCCTTCTCACACGCTCCATTTTCCCCCTCCTGTCCCCACTCCCTCTCTCTCCTTTATTCTTTCAGGGGGTGAGAGAGAGAGAGAGAGAGAGAGAGACAGAGAAAGAGAGAGACACAGTGGAGGGTGAAGACAGCCTGTTGGCACCATCTCCTTCTCTGTCTGCAACAACTTCCAATTAAGCGTGTTTCCAGCACTCCTCTCCTCTTCCCACTAACATCCCCTTTTTCTCTCTTCCAAGAACAAGAAAAGAAAGAGAAAAAAGAAAACCCCCTCCTCTCCCCCCTCCCCGCCGCCCCCCCCCGCCGTCCCCGTCTCCCACCCTCCACCTCCTCTTCCACCCTCCCCCCCTGTCGCGCTTCGCTTCACCCCTACCCGAAAAAGAAGAGGAGAGAAAAAGAACAGGAAAACAAAGAGAGAGAGAAAAAAAGGAGGAGAAGCTCTAAAAAAGGAGAGCAAAAAAAAGCCCCCCCCCTAAAAAAGCGTGGCAACGCACCTTCTCCCTCCCCCGCCCGCGCCCCCCTCCTCCGATAGCTACCCCCCCCCCCTCCCCCCTCTCTCTCTCTCCCCCCTCTCCCCCCTCTCCCTCTCTCTCTCTCCCCCCTCTCGCTGGTCCATCCCAACCCTGGGAGCCAAGGGTTTATTGGAAAGCCATTCTAGACTGCAGAGCAGATATTAACTTGATGGGATGTGATGCTATTTTTCCACATTTCTCTCCTTCTCTCTCGCCCTGTCTCTCTCCCTCTCTTTTTGTCTCTCTCTCTCTCTCTCTCTGTGACAATGGAAGGGTTACCTACAGTACCCAGCCGCTGAAGACAATACCAGATGAGGAAATGCAGTGACTGGACTGGTAAAGGGATGAATCATGGAAAAGGGGGCCATAAACTGCAGTTTATGTAACTGTGGCAGCTTCAGAGTGTGTGTTTAAGAAATCATCAGTCTTTACATTCTCTCAGATTGTATGTATGCGTGTGCAAATGTTTTCCCTTTCATAGATCTCAGTAAAACACAACATCATTTCCTAATAATTCACTCAACAATTAGGATGTTTACCCCTTTCTACTTGGTTTTAGTGTAAAGCGAAACATTCCTCACTCTACAGGTTGACTGTCTCATCACTGCAGTCTCTATATTCACTCAGATGGGTTAGTTTGGCTATGTGATCTGTGGAAATGTGTTCTTTGTCATAGGCCTGGAGTATAACAAATAACATCATTTCTCCATCATTGACTCTTACTGGCATGGATGAAAGAAAAAGGTGACCATAATAGCCGCTAATGGTGCGCGGGTCAGCTGTTCACCCACACCCGCCCGCAGTAGCTAATAACCCATCCGCAACCGCCCGACTATATGTGATAGTTAAAATCTGAGGCCTACACCTGACCCTAACCCGCTAATATAGAAAATGTGCTGCAGGCTACAGTCAGAGACGGCAGAACTATTTTCTGACAGGGGGTGCAGGATCTTTTGTGCCTGATCTAGATATTTTTCTGCTTATAATTTCCGACATTTTGGTAGACTATTTGTTAGTCAACTTGCCTATAATTAGATACATGCAGCTTCTCTTCTGTCATTATATATATGTTTCCCTAGAAGACTAAATAAACCCTTGCTCATCAGAATGTCATAAATCGATAGAATGAATGCTTCAATCTAGTTGACATTGGTAAAAATTTCGCTGTCATTTCTGCTTCTTTCGCAGAGCAAAGACATTTAGGGACCGGGGAGAAAATGCAATAATAATAACAGTTTGACCGGTTGTAAGGAAATAGAAAGCTGTGAAAATGATCCAACATGTTTCTGATAAGATTTCAGTTCGGGTTGGATGCAGATTTTATGTGGTTGAAATACTATCAGCTTTTACGATGCTGATAAAGATAGCGCCTCTACAGACGGTATCTAACTGGCATTCACATTCTCTCAAGACGCTGACAGAAATAAATCATATTTCTCCACTCCTGTTCCTGAGTAAAAAAATGTTGCCTACATTTGGTGTATCATTTTACAACAAGAAATGCTTAATTCTGCAGGAGTTAACATTAAGGCAATGTGATAGGTTATAGACCTACAGTCAGTGTCCAGATTTCAGTTTCCATTTAACCCATCTGAACAGTAGGCTACGGTTCCCTTGACCTGCCATTGGCCTATTTGAAGTCCCTGTCTTGTGACTGTGGAATTTGCATAGAGCCTCACAACCATCACACATAACATAGCTGACACTGCCATCATCCTCTTTTACCACTTCACCAAATCTTTCCCAAACATGTATTTTCTGTCCCTTCCTTCTCTTTATCTTCAACTCTACATTTCACAGCTTTTCTCTTATTGAATTAAACTCCCACATTGTCCTTTTTGCCTAGTGGATCTCCTTTAACTTTTTCTGCCCGTTCCCAAAAGCATTTGGCGATTGGCGTGTCGGCTATTTGTTGCGCGTACAGTTATGCCCTTAAGCTTAGGCTTACGCATTAATGCCAGATAGGTTTTTCTTTAATTATTTTCGGCTAAATGTAGTCTATAGATATAAATTGCACAAGAATGATACATTTATGGAATTTTTTATGTATCATTTTCTCTTTATTCAACACAATATTTCATGACCCTAAACCTGGCCGCCCACAGCTATAACCGCGAGGAATGGAGGTTATGAGTCAACCCCACACATCCCATCTAACCGCAGTTCACTGTGTGGTACCTTCAGACTGTTTAAGACCTTGTCAGTCTCTGTATGAGTTATGTGAAATTCACTATTTGAAATCAGAGTGAATCACATCATTACACCATCATTTACTTAATTAACATGTTTATTCGTTTCTTCACTGGTTTTACTGTAAAATAAAATAATCTCCCAATTCCCACCACTAACTACTCTCTCCTCCCTCCCATCTGCAAGGACACACTGTCCTGGCTGTGCTTCAGTATAGGAAAGGGATGTGTGCGTGTGTGGAGGGAGGGGTGGATGGATGGATGAAGGGATACAGGTCTACAGTCGTGGTCAAAAGTTTTGAGAATGACACAAATATTCATTTTCACAAAGTCTACTGCCTCCGTTTTTATATGATGGCAATTGGCATATACTCCAGAATGTTATGAAGAGTGATTAGATTAATTGCAATTAATTGCAAAGTCCCTCTTCGCCATGAAAATGAACTTAATCCCCAAAAAACATTTCCACTGCATTTCAGCCCTGCCACAAAAGGACCAGCTGACATCATGTCAGTGATTCTCTCGTTAACACAGGTGAGAGTGTGACAGGCTGGAGATCACTCTGTCATGCTGATTGAGTTAGAATAACAGACTGGAAGCTTTAAAAGGAGGGTGGTGCTTGAAATCATTGTTCTTCCTCTGTTAACCATGGTTACCTGCAAGGAAACACGTGCCGTCATCATTGCTTTGCACAAAAAGGGCTTCACAGGCAAGGATATTGCTGCTAGTAAGATTGCACCTAAATCAACCATTTATCGGATCATCAAGAACTTCAAGGAGAGAGGTCCAATTGTTGTGAAGAAGGCTTCAGGGCACCCAAGAAAGTCCAGCAAGCGCCAGGACCGTCTCCTAAAGTTGATTCAGCTTGCGGGATCGGGGCACCACCAGTGCAGAGCTTGCTCAGGAATGGCAGCAGGCAGGTGTGAGTGCATCTGCACGCACAGTGAGGCGAATACTTTTGGAGGATGGCCTGGTGTCAAGAAGGGATGTTTGGGGCATCCGGAAAAAAGCTTGTCCGGAGAAGACAAGGTGAGCGCTACCATCAGTCCTGTGTCATGCCAACAGTAAAGCATCCTGATACCATTCATGTGTGGGGTTGCTTCTCAGCCAAGGGAGTGGGCTCACTCACAATTTTGCCTAAGAACACAGCCATGAATAAAGAATGGTACCAACACATCCTCCGAGAGCAACTTCTCCCAACCATCCAAGAACAGTTTGGTGACGAACAATGCCTTTTCCAGCATGATGGAGCACCTTGCCATAAGGCAAAAGTGATAACTAAGTGGCTCGGGGAACAAAACATCAAGATTTTGGGTCCATGGCCAGGAAACTCCCCAGACCTTAATCCCATTGAGAACTTGTGGTCAATCCTCAAGAGGTGGGTGGACAAACAAAAACCCACAAATTCTGACAAACTCCAACCATTGATTATGCAAGAATGGGCTGCCATCTGTCAGGATGTGGCCCAGAAGTTAATTGACAGCATGCCAGGGCGGATTGCAGAGGTCTTGAAAAAGAAGGGTCAACACTGCAAATATTGACTCTTTGCATAAACTTAATGTAATTGTCAATAAAAGCCTTTGACACCTTATGGAATGCTTGTAATTATACTTCAGTATACCATAGTAACATCTGACAAAAATATCTAAAAACACTGAAGCAGCAAACTTTGTGAAGACCAATACTTGTGTCATTCTCAAAACTTTTGACCAGGACTGTAGAGCGAGGGATGGAGGGATTCCTCACCGCAGGAGCCTGGCGCCCTCTCCTGGTAGGAGAACTGTAGGTGCAGCTCCTCTTCTGTCATCTCACTGATGAAGACTTTGAGCAGGCAACGGATCATAAACAGGGCATTGTGGGCCTGCCAGATGAACAGCTGACTGGAGAGGGGAAAAGAAGAGCAACGTTACTTTATTGTCATTAGAGACTTACTTTATGTAGACGAGAGAAATCTGTCACACACAGACTAGCTCAGGAGACATATATAGACTAGCACTGCTGGAGCTAGGAACACAAGCATTTCACTACACCCGCAATAACATCTGCTAACCATGTGTATGTGACCAATAACATTTGATTTGATGTAGCAAGGCATAATCATTTTCACAAGTAGCTTACTAGGCATGAAAATAAGACAAGACCAGAGGGGAATAGCCATGTTGGACGCCCCAGGCTCCCAAATGACAAGTTATTACACTCGCCAATATGGTCAATGTTGACGTAAAGTGATTTGGTTGGACATCCCAAAGTAGGGGTTTGAGGGGAACTGAAGACACTGGGTCCTGCAGGGTAACAACAGTTGTTGTGACTCGTGAGATCCTCCCTTAACATAAACACACACATTCACACCAATCCACACACATTCACACCAATCAACACACATTCACACCAATCAACATAAACACACACACACTGAGACCAATCAACACTAATATAACACACACACACACACACACCAACAACACTCACATTAAAGCCAAAACATGAATAAAGTAATAGTATTCCTTGTAACTATGATATGGGCCATGATGAGTTCATAAACGCACACCAATCAACACTCATAAACACACATTCATGCCAATATATGACCAATGTAGCTCTATTACTTACAACTATGCAATGGCTTCTCTTGTAACTGTGGTGAACTTGGTATGTGAATGTGAACCCCGGTGTTTGATGAGAAGCAGAGTAGGTTCACAGACACCTTTCCACCGCACGCATCTTCTTCGTCACTTTGAGCCGCCCTGACTCAACTAATCCTGGAGAAGCTAAGCCTGGTGGCTCTCCTGCCTTGCTATAGGCCTGGAGAAGCTCAGCCTGGTGGCTCTCCTGCCTTGCTATAGGCCTGGAGAAGCTCAGCCTGGTGGCTCTCCTGCCTTGCTATAGGCCTGGAGAAGCTCAGCCTGGTGGCTCTCCTGCCTTGCTATAGGCCTGGAGAAGCTCAGCCTGGTGGCTCTCCTGCCTTGCTATAGGCCTGGAGAAGCTCAGCCTGGTGGCTCTCCTGCCTTGCTATAGGCCTGGAGAAGCTCAGCCTGGTGGCTCTCCTGCCTTGCTATAGGCCTGGAGAAGCTCAGCCTGGTGGCTCTCCTGCCTTGCTATAGGCCTGGAGAAGCTCAGCCTGGTGGCTCTCCTGCCTTGCTATAGGCCTGGAGAAGCTCAGCCTGGTGGCTCTCCTGCCTTGCTATAGGCCTGGAGAAGCTCAGCCTGGTGGCTCTCCTGCCTTGCTATAGGCCTGGAGAAGCTCAGCCTGGTGGCTCTCCTGCCTTGCTATAGGCCTGGAGAAGCTAAGCCTGGTGGCTCTCCTGCCTTGCTATAGGCCTGGAGAAGCTCAGCCTGGTGGCTCTCCTGCCTTGCTATAGGCTGGTCAGCCTTGGGAAATAGTTTACAATATATATGTTTGGGGTCACTTAGAAATGTCCTTGTTTTTCGAAAGAAAAGCAAAAAATTTTTTGTCCATTAAAATAACATCAAATTGATTAGAAATACAGTATCGACATTGTTCATGTTGTAAATGGCTATTGTAGCTGGAAACGGCTGATTTTTAATGGAATATCTACATAGGCGTACAGAGGCCCATTATCAGCAACCATCAGTCCTGTGTTCCAATGGCACGTTGGGTTTGCTAATCCAAGTTTATCATTTTAAAAGGCTAACTGATCATTAGAAAACCCTTTTGCAATTATGTTAGCACAGCTGAAAACTGTTGTGCTGATTAAAGAAGCAATAAAACTGGCCTTCTTGAGACTAGTTGAGTATCTGGAGCATCAGCAATTGTGGGTTCGATTACAGGATCAAAATGGCCAGAAACAAAGAACTTTCTTCTGAAACTCGTCAGTCTATTCTTGTTCTGAGAAATGAAGCCTATTCTATGCGAGAAATTGCCAAGAAACTGAAGATCTAGTACAACGCTGTGTACTACTCCCTTCACAGAACAGCGCAAACTGGCTCTAACCAGAATAGAAAGAGGAGTGGGAGGCCCCGGTGCACAACTGAGCAAGAGGACAAATACATTAGAGTGTCTAATTTGAGAAACAGGCGCCTCACAGGTCCTCAACTGGCAGTTTCATTAAATAGTACACCAATTATGTGGGGGAAAGTGGAAAACCAGATTGAATGGAGGAATGGGGGGGGGGGGGGGGGGGGGGGGGTGTAATTGGGAAGGATAACTAAATTACTCCACCCCTCAGGTTTATGAATGAAACACTTTCTCAGATAATCTGGATTTCAGCTTGGATGAGTTGGATCTTCCATCCGGAGTGGGGTTGGGACCATGTCACCATGTCTCACACACAGCCCAAATTATACCTCTGGGTGGATTCCCATGGGAAATGGAAAATGTCAAAGGTTCAGCATCACCACTCCATGGTGTACAGCCCAGGGCTTATTTATTATTGAACTATCAATGTCACCGTCCCAAAACTATAGGCCTACCTCTGGATTCCAATGACAAATGTCAATGGTTGCAGCATCAACACCACTTCAACATCGGGAGTACAACACACGCCGTATTTATGACTGAACTATTCATTTAGATGATTCTGTCCCCTTTACAGTTTGGTTTCACATGATACTCACTCCTGGCATTCTGTGGATATTTTCAGCTCTTTGGTTCTTCCCAGGAATATTCTCACCAGGGCTCCAAAATTCCCTGTTCTGGGATTGTTCTCAACTGTAGGGGGAGAGGCAGGAGAGAGGAAGATCCTTTTAAATACTATGTATAGTATTTAAAAGGACTGCTTGGTGATTGACACATAGTATATCAATCATCTATATTGTCTTCTTTATGAAACAAAGACACTATAAATACTGATGATAACATGTAGAAAGCATGTTAACTACAGGTCAATCTGTCAAATAAAAGGCTGGAAATATCGGAAGATAAAAAATTTAGCACTCAATTAAGTTTTTAGTTTGAAACGAGTCAATGTAAAAGCTTGTTTTGGTGTCATCAAAGTCCTAATAAGTAGAAAAGGTTAACAGTCAGGACAGACAGGCTTAATACACAAACATGAGACGTACTCAGGATCTTGGCGAGGGGAATGACTGCCTCTTCCAACAGCTTGGAGTCCCCACTGTTGGGGGGGACGGAGAGAGAGAGAGAGAGAGAGAGAGAGAGAGAGAGAGAGAGAGAGAGAGAGAGAGATAGGGAGATAGAGGGAGGGAGAGAGGGAGAGAGAGAGAGAGAGAGAGAGAGAGAGAGAGGGAGAGGAAAGACATCAATCAAATGTATTTATAAAGCCCTTTTACAGTTTGGTTTCACATGATACTCACTCCAGTAGATGTCACAAAGTGCTTATACATAACCCAGCCAAAACAAAACAAAGAATAAGCAATGCAGATGTAGAAGCAAGAGCAATTCCATTACAGCAGCCACAACAGCTCTTGATCGGATATTGGCAAGCTTTCAATTGGGCTCTGTATCTCAAGAGTTCACATGTGAGATCCATGGCTGTGGTCCTTCCTTTACCAGGGACAAGCAAACTGCAGTCCTTCCACTTGAGAACTGACTAAATCAGTGTCAGCTAAACCATCACAAGTTCATTCACTTCACCATCATTGATAGTCTAATGTGCCCTCTACTGTCATGTTAGTACATACTCGCAACACTCGTTCATATAAATATAATTAGAGTATTACATATCTCTACTACATATTTTTTTAACCCATAAGTGTGTTTACATATTTTTTTAACCCATAAGTGTGTACATTACTGTATTTATACGTGGGATATTGTTTTTCAACAGGAAAAGTTCCAAAATAGCTGGATTGCGTCTTTAAAGGTCAACTATACTACTTGTCACATCAGATCATAAAGTCGGTTAGATCATTACAGCAAGTCAGCTGAGGTCTGCAAATAGTAACATAAAAGCTGTTAGACTACGAAGAAGTTAACTAAGACCTACTCTCTGTTGCTGCACCTTAGCTAATGTTGACAGGCCAGGAATAACTTATCGTCAAGGTAACAGCCAGAAAAGTCTGTTAGAACCTGAGTTAAAAAACACAGTGTGTATGTTAGACAGGAAACAACGCAATTGGGGGAAAAGGTTAGAGCGCAGTGAAAGCCATGGTAAACGTTACAATTATTTTGTTTGCTCTACTAAAACCCATTTCCTGTTTTAGGAGAAACTTGCAATTCTGTGTGACAACACCACCTGTATTTCAACAACAACTCCCTTGCAATGTGATTAAACAAATAGGTTTAAGAGAATACATCATCTAACCTGGCCTACTTGATTAGCCTGGTCCCAGATCTGTTTGTGCCGTCTTGCCAACTCCCATGGTCATTGATGCAAGGGGTTGGCTATTCAGCAAACAGATCTGGGACCAGGCTACTAAAGTAACCTAGTACCCATCTCATAGATTCACTTTAGCCTATTTGTTTAATCCAATTTAATTAGAGTTGTTGTTGTAGTTGTCTAGACTGGTTCCAGATCTGTTTGTGCCCTTGTTTCATTGAGTGATAAGGAGTTGGCATTATAGCACAACCAGGGGTGAAAGTAAGCCGGTCTGGTCCGGCGTCCTAAATAAATAGTGGGGGTACGCCGTACCGGTAAAACGTGAGCCTATCACAATAACTAACACAAAATACCAAGAACTAAAGGCTATTACACACTAATAGGCCTCCTGTAGCTACGTTGGTAGAGCATGGCGCTTGCAACGCCAGGGTTGTGTGTTCGATTCCCACAGGGGGCCAGTGTGGAAAATGTATGCACTCACTAACTGTAAGTCGCTCTGGATAAGAGCGTCTGCTAAATGACTAAAATGTAAAATGTTAAATAATTAACATTACCGCATGTCAGCCGCATGAAAAATGTGTGAATTGACTGGAAACCGGGTGGTATACGGTCCAAATTGCGTTGTGGTTAGACGACAACACTCATTGCCAAGGCGGAGATGAGCAGCCGAGACCGAGGCGTGAGACCAAGACATGCACGTGGACAGCAGTGAACGCATCTATTCAGGCTACAAGTGTAGGCCTAATGACCATCGCAGAATGTCATAATAATAATAATAATAATAATAATAATAATAATAATCACGTTTAGGTGTTCTGTAACAGATGTCTCTTTCCATTCATCTAATTGCGGGTGCACAGTGCACCGTTTGGATTATGGAATTATTTTTGTTAAGGACAAAGGTAGCCTAGAGATGACAACATCATATGACTGGTTGTGTTTATGCCACAGTAAAATATACTGAACAAAAATATAAAACACAACATGCAACAATTTCAAAGATTTTACTGAGTTACAGTTCAAATAAGGAAATCAGTCAATTGAAATAAATTCATTAGGCCCTAATCTACGGATTTCACATGCAGATATGCATCTGTTGGTCACAGGTAAAGTGCATACAGAAAGTATTCAGACACCTTCACTTTTTGAACATTTTATTACATTACAGCCTTATTCTAAAATTGATTACATCGTTTTTTTCCTCATCAACCTACACACAGTACCCCATAATGACAAAGCAAAAACATGTTTTTAGAAATGTTTGCAAAAAAAAACACACAAAAAAACGGAAATATCACATTTACATAAGTATTTAGACCCTTTACTCAGTACTTTGTTGAAGCACCTTTGGCAGCAATTACAGCCTCAAATCTTCTTAGGTATGACCCTAAAAGCTTGGCACACCTGTATTTGGGGAGTTTCTCCCATTCTTCTCTGCAGATCCTCTCAAGCTCTGTCAGGTGGATGGGGAGCTGCGCTGCACAGCTATTTTCAGGTCTCTCCAGAGATGTTCGATCGGGTTCAAGTCCGGGCTCTGGCTGGGCCACTCAAGGACATTCAGAGACTAGTCCCGAAGCCACTCCTGCGTTGTCTTGGCTGTGTGCTTAGGGTCGTTGTCCTGTTGGAAGGTGAACCTTCTCCCCAGTCTGAGGTCCTGAGCGCTCTGGAGCAGGTTTTCATCAAGGATATCTCTGTACTTTGCTCCGTTCATCTTTCCCTCTATCCTGACTAGTCTCTCAGTCCCTGCCGCTGAAAAACATCCCCACAGCATGATGCTGCCACCACAATGCTTCACCGTAGGGATGTTTTTTTTTGCTCTGACATGCACTGTCAACTGTGGGACGTTATATAGACAGGTGTGTGCCTTTCCAAATCATGTCCAATCAATAGAATTTACCACAGGTGGACTCCAATCAAGTTGTAGAAACATCTCAAGGATGATCAATGGAAACAGGATGCACCTGAGCTCAATTTCGAGTCTCATAGCAAAGGGTCTGAATACTTATATGAATAAGGTATCTGTTTTTTCTATTTTTAATACATTTGCAAACATTTCTAAAAACCTGTTTTTGCTTTGTCATTATTGGGTATTGTGTGTAGATTGATGAGGATTTTTTTTTATTTAATCCATTTTAGAATAAGGCTGTAACATAAATTGTGGAAAAAGTGAAGGGGTCTGAATACTTTCCGAATGCACTGTACCTTAAAAAAAAGGTATCAGAAATCCAGTCAGTATCTGATGTGACATCTATTTGCCTCATGCTGCGCGATACATGTCCTTCACATAGAATTGATCAGGCTGTTGATTGTGGCCTGTGGAATTTCTGGGATCTTTTATTTCAGCTCATGAAACATGGGACCAACACTTTACGTGTTGCATTTATATTTTTGTTCAGTGTACAAGTTGAAAGTGATATGACAAATCTTTACTAGGCCTAGGCTACTAAGCCTACAGAGATCATATGAAATTAATAGGAATTATATATGTAGGAATTCTATATGTAAATCTATGATTGGCGCACAATTGTCCCAGCGTCGTCCAGGTTTGGCCGGTGTAGGCCGTCATTGTAAATAAGAATTTGTTCTTAACTGACTTGCCTAGTTAAATAAAAGGTAAATAATAATAATAATAATAATAATAATAATATCTAGGCCAGGGGTGTCAAACGTCCGGCCCGCGGGCCGGATCAGGCCCGCAAACGGGTTTAATCCGGCCCGCGAGATGATTTTGGAAAAATAAAAAATAAAAAATAAAAGATAAAAAAATTTGCTGCAATTTTTCAATAAAATAAACTGCTGTTCCAATTGCGTCCACTGGATGGCGCAATAGCAATTGTGTTAAGCAAGCAAACTGTTTATACCGGGGCAGAGCAAGTAGGTCAAGCACGTGCAGCCAATGAGCTACTTTGTTTTGCCCGCGATATTTATTACGGCTTCTACTTTTAACATTATGTGCTTTGGCACCCTCATTGCCCCAATATGTCTCTGTCAAAAAAGAGAAACGTGGACGCAGAGTGCAGAGTGTTCCAAGAAAAATGGTCATCCTATTTATTCACGGAATTGAATGGGAAAGCTGTATGTTTGGTGTGTTCAGAGCATGTTGCAGTGCTGAAAGAATATAACCTTCGTCGCCACTATGTGAGTCTTCATGCCGACAAATATGACAACTTTCAAAGACAGCGGAGATGAGAGAAGGTGAATGAACTGTTGGCGTGTCTGAAGAAACAGCAGTCTGTGTTTACTCACAGCCGAGACATCAGTGACGCTGCAGTGAAAGCTAGCTACCTCATTGCTAATGAAATCGCAGTGGCTTCAAAACCATTTAGTGAGGGTGAATTTGTAAAAACATGCATGATGAAGGCAGCGGAGATTGTGTGCCCTGAAAAGCGGCAGGCTTTTGCAAATATCAGCCTGACAAGAAACACAGTTGCAGACAGGATTTCCGATCTTTCAGTGGATTTGGACAGCCAGTTGAAGCAAAAAGTAAAGTCATTTATTGCATTTTCGGTTGCAATTGATGAAAGCACGGACATTATAGATGTTGCACAACTGGCCATTTTCATCCGCGGAGTTGATGACACATTGACCGTCACCGAGGAGTTTGTGGAGTTGGTGCCGATGACAGATACAACGACAGCAGCTGATATTTTTACCGCACTCGTCGGCGCGCTGGACAGGGTCGGAGTGGACTGGTCCCGCGCTGTCAGCCTGGCTACAGATGGTGCGCCCTCAATGATCGGGGAAAAAAGCAAGCGTTGTGACAAAGTTCAGAGAGAAAGTGAAATCTGCAAATGTAGGACGTGATATTTTGACTTTTCACTGTATTTTGCACCAGGAGGCTTTGTGTTGCAAGTCATTAAAGATGGATAACGTCATGAAGGTGGTCATCCAAACTGTTAATTTCATCCGATCCAGAAGCCTGAATCACCGTCAGTTTGACAGCCTTCTCAGAGAGAAAGACCACATCTATGGCCTGCCATACCACACTGAGGTAAGATGGTTAAGCCGAGGTGCTGTGCTGAGGCGTTTCTTTGATTTACGAGAAGAAATTGAACAGTTCATGGAAGAAAAGGGCAAACCAGTGTTAGAATTTCATTCCGCAGAATGGATGCAGGACCTTGCATTTATGGTGGATGTTACAGAGCACCTGAATAACTTGAACAAACAGCTGCAAGGGCGCAACAAAGTTGTCACGCAGTATTATCACAGCATACGTTCTTTCAAGTTGAAGCTGTCATTGTGGGAGACGCAACTTGAAAAAGTCTGAAAAATGTGTGCGCGACCCAACATGTGGCAGACATGAAGCGGTTCAAAGATAAAATAACGGGACTGTTACGGGAGTTTGAGCAACGCTTTCAGATTTATGTTTATATGTTTTTATGTTGATGTGCTATTGTTTTTAATTTATTTTATTTTATTTGTATATTTAACCTATTCTTGACTCTGTGGTTCTTGCACTTGTTTGGGGAACAGGATTTCATTATTTTTATCTACATTTCTGCCTGAGAAATGACACCCTGATATAGTTCTGTGATCTGTGAAACAGTTCTGTTAATCACTGAGTCATTGTGTGTTTGTGTGTTCTTTTTCTTTAGAATTTTCAAATAAACTTGACGTGTTTTATGATTAATAGTGATGTTGTGCTTGTACTATTTTGGACACACTGTCCTCAGGCTCCAGCTTTGTTTTAATACGATCAACATAAAGAAAACAATCTGAAGTTGTTGTTTTTAAGTTATATATACCATGATTTTTCCGGTCCGGCCCACTTGGGAATAGATTTTCCTCCATGTGGCCCCTGAGCTAAAATGAGTTTGACACCCCTGATCTAGGCTATAAAAAAAATGTGTGCGCCCTTCGGTATCCCGTAATGGTAAGAAATAAAATCTACTTTCACCCTTGAGCACAACCAGTTGTTGTCTGCTACTTTAACATGTTCTTCCCTGATAGTGGGGATGAACAGGGCAGGCTATGGCATATCAATGACCATAAGAGTTGGTTGTACAGCACAAACTAATCTGGGACCAAGCTAGTGCTGCTACTTTATCATACAGATGATCATGTAATTACCGGCTAGTGGGGCTGATGAAGGTGAAGGAGATGAGCTGGTTCCAGAAGGGGTCATTCTCTGAGATGGACTCTGTTCCGATCAGGGTCCTGAGGCTCTGGTTCTCACACAGGTCACTGACCTGGCTGGTGTTGGCTCCCATCTCCTGAGTACCCGAGGTCTGAGGAGAGGCTCTCTTTCTCACTGCCTCATCTCCCACTACCACACCAGGCACTGTACTGGGGAACAGAACGGAGATGGGATTAGGCTACTCAGGTTAGGTCTACTTTTTAATCTGAATCTGATAGAATAGGTCTGGTTCATGATATAGGGAACAAGACAAAATCCTGACTTCTAATTCTAAATGAATGGGGACCTATGTAGTTTAGCAATCCTCTCCTCTAACTGAGTCTTAGGCCTACTTCTGATCTAGAAGAATCTCCCTGTTCCCTGGTGAGAGCTGCTTATATTTGACATTGGCTGTGGAGTCAGCAATGCTCCACTTCATGCATTCAATTCTGTATTGCAAAGCTATGAGAAATGTTATTTTTTTCTTATTTAATTGACTAATGACCTAATTACATTCGGGCCCAAATCTGGCTCATGACGCACATCTATCTGTCTGTCTGGCTGCATCCTTATATCCTTCACATAATATGCCTTGGGGATTTCAGCCCTGTATGGAAGCCTTTTGTGAGCTTGTCTTGATTTTGGAAATATGACCCATTTGGCAGAATGTGAACATAATGACTCAGATGTCCAGTGTTGTTGATGAATACACACTTGTCCTAAACAGTTTAGCTGTTAGGGGTCTCGGTTTACACTGAACCACTGGGAACAAGGTGTCACGACATCAAATCAGTACTCAGGCTTCCTTCCAAACGTGACAGGCTGAATTAATTTAAGTGCAAGCTCTCCCTTTGTCACAAAATGCAAGCAAAGGTAACATAAACATTGACTGCCTGGTGCATAGTGGTGCATAGTGATGCATTACGTGGCATGTTCATTGTTCAACATTCGTGGTGCAATACAGGATGAGTTTGCCTCATAGACTTAAGGTTTGCCCCCACACCTTTAGTACACACATCCATTTGATCACACCCTTGTCATAGCCATCAGCCATAGTGCCACATCTGTGTCTGACAGATATCTATACATTTTCAGTAAAAAAATTATCATAAATATCGACCAGACATTAAAGTATTACCTAGTTAATACAGAAAGGTGTTCATGGACTTGCTGGCTAGTCTATAGCAAACTAACTAGCTAGCCAGCTACAGCAGCCGCAAAACTGCATTTCACTCTCCTTGCACATCTGTGTCTGACAGTTAAAGTAGTGATACATTTTCTGTAAAAAAAATAACAAATAACGACCAGACAAGTATTAGTTAATACATTAAGGTGTTAATGGACTTGCTTGCTAGATAGCAAGCTAGCTAACTAACTACTGTTAGTTACTGTACGTTAGTAACGTAACACACCCCCTAGCTGCAGCTAGCTAACAACGTTAGCTAAACACACGCTCTAAATGCAGCGGGCAGAGACAGGCTTCCTTAAAGGTTGTGAAACAGGTCAGTTGAAACTGAATGTGTAACTGACATGATATTACACTAGCTAGCTAGCTAATTAATAGATTAACTAGCTAGCTATGTCTGGGTAGTGAGCTAACAACTATACTAGCTATCCAACGTTAGCCACATTTAGCATCACCAGCTGATCTGTCAAATTCACTGCTCTCGTGGCACCTACCTAGCTCGCGTTCTTCTCCCAGGTTCTTGACAGTCTTCAGCTTAGGTTGTACAGTTGCTATAGCTGTAAATGTCAATGATAAACAAAAGTTTACTAAATGAAGAATTTGAGAAAACTCCGACTTAACTCTAGTGCTCTTCCACCATATTTCCACGTCGTCACAGACATGCGTGAGCGTGACAGTTGAGCGGAAGGGGAACGTGCGTACGTTGAAGATAGAAATGCATAAAAACGAACCCAACACTATACACTATAAAAGCCGAGTCGATTCTACACATTATTGTTCTATCTAAAACATTCACTATCGACTGTTCAGCCCTAAACTCTGAAAGGGCAGTTTCATCCCGGATGTTGAATTAGCCTTTTCTTACTTTCATAAAGCATTCCAGGATGTATGCAACAAGCATGACCCTTTTCAAACAAGACAGAAGGGCAGAGACAACCCCTGGTTCTCAGATGAACTAGCTGAACTCATAAGGAAACAGAATGCTTTGTGGGCTAAAGCAAGAAGGTCTGATTCAGCTGATGATTGGATGGCTTTTAAACACCTTCAGAATCAAGGTGTGGCTATGAACCGAAAACTGAAAGCAGACCACTACTTCAAATCTACTGCTGATAATCTGAATAATCCTTCCAAATTGTATCAAGTAGTGAAAGGTTTAGAGTGCAAAAAAAGATGCACAGCTCCCTAAACCGCTGCTGATGGATTCGCATGTAGTAACTGAGAGAACCTCTATTCTGAACTCTTTTAATCAACATTTTCTTGATGCAGGTGGATTATTTGATAGGGTTAAAGATCAACATGAGCCCCCTGTGAAATTAGCTGACACTCCCAAGCACTCATTCACAAAATGCATGGTATTTTCCAATAGTAAACACTCTGAAAACCATGTAATTACTAGCTTGGAATGACATTCTATAGAGCAAGACAAATATCTGGGAGTTCGCGTGGATGAGAAGTTAAGCTTCACCACCCATGTAAAGAACCTTGCCAGGAAACTCAAGCTGCATATTGGGTTTTATTACAGGCACAAAGCATGTTTTCCATTTGTCACCAGAAAATAGTTTATTAATTGTACTTTTCTCTCTGTTGGACTATGGTGATACTATACTGAACAAAAATATAAAATGCAACATACAACAATTTCAAACATTTTACGAGTTACAGTTCATATCAGGAAATCAGTCAATTTAAATAAATAAATTAGGCCCTAATCTATGGATTTCACATGACTGGGAATACAGATAATGCATCTATTGGTCACAGATAATATGGGCGTGGATCAGAAAACCAGTCAGTGTCTGGTGTGACCACTATTTGCCTCATGCAGCGCGACAACTCCTTCGCATAGAGTTGATCAGGCTGTTGATTGTGGCCTGTGGAATGTTGTCCCAAGTATCTGCCTCTAACCCTAGGAAGCTCTTTGCCACATTCTCCTCCCTGCTGAATCCTCCTTGGGATCCTCCCAACACTCGATCCCTCTGATGTCAACAACTACAGACCAGTATCCCTTCTTTCTTTTCTTTCCAAAACTATTGAGCGTGCCGTCTTTAGCCAACTCTCTTGCTATCTCTCTCAGAATGACCTTCTTGATCCAAACCAGTCAGGTTTCAGGACTGGTCATTCAACTGAGACTGCTCTTCTCTGTGTCACGGAGGCTCTCCGCACTGCTAAAGCTAACTCTCTCTCCTCTGCTCTTGTCCTTCTAGACCTGTCTGCTGCCTTTGATACTGTGAACCATCAGATCCTCCTCTCCACCCTCTCCGAGCTGGGCATCTCCGGCGCGGCTCACTCTTGGATTGCGTCCTACCTGACCGGTCGCTCCTACCAAGTGGCGTGGCGAGAAGCTGTCTCCGCACCACGTGCTCTCACCACTGGTGTCCCCCAGGGCTCAGTTCTAGGCCCTCTCCTATTCTCGCTATACACCAAGTCACTTGGCTCTGTCATATCCTCACATGGCCTCTCCTATCATTGCTACGCTGACGATACACAACTAATCTTCTCCTTTCCCCCTTCTGATAACCAGGTGGCGAATCGCATCTCTGCATGTCTGGCAGACATATCAGTATGGATGACGGATCACCACCTCAAGCTGAACCTTGGCAAGACGGAGCTGCTCTTCCTCCCGGGGAAGGACTGCCCGTTCCATGATCTCGCCATCACGGTTGACAACTCCGTTGTGTCCTCCTCCCAGAGTGCGAAGAGCCTTGGCGTGACCCTGGACAACACCCTGTCGTTCTCCGCTAACATCAAGGCGGTGACCCGATCCTGCAGGTTCATGCTCTACAACATTCGGAGAGTACGACCCTGCCTTACACAGGAAGCGGCACAGGTCCTAATCCAGGCACTTGTCATCTCCCGTCTGGATTACTGCAACTCGCTGTTGGCTGGGCTCCCTGACTGTGCCATTAAACCCCTACAACTCATCCAGAATGCCGCAGCCCGTCTGGTGTTCAACCTTCCCAAGTTCTCTCACGTCACCCCGCTCCTCCGCACACTCCACTGGCTTCCAGTTGAAGCTCGCATCTGTTACAAGACCATGGTGCTTGCCTATGGAGCTGTGAGGGGAACGGCACCTCCGTACCTTCAGGCTCTGATCAGTCCCTACACCCAAACGAGGGTATTGCGTTCATCCACCTCTGGCCTGCTGGCTCCCCTTCCTCTGCGGAAGCATAGTTCCCGCTCAGCCCAGTCAAAACTGTTCGCTGCTCTGGCACCCCAATGGTGGAACAAGCTCCCTCACGACGCCAGGACAGCGGAGTCACTCACCACCTTCCGGAGACATTTGAAACCCCACCTCTTTAAGGAATACCTGGGATAGGATAAAGTAATCCTTCTACCCCCCCCCCCCCCCCTAAAAAAAAAAAGTAAAGTGGTTATCCCACTGGCTATAGGGTGAATGCACCAATTTGTAAGTCGCTCTGGATAAGAGCGTCTGCTAAATGACGTAAATGTAAATGTCCCACTCCTCTTCAATGGCTGTGCGAAGTTGCTGGATTTTTAGGAAATCTGACATTTTATCTATCCTCTCTTCTAGCTCAAAATGAACACACATAGAAGCTCAGATCTCAAATCTTGTTTTATGCTAACAGTCCCGAATATTAGAACCGAGCATGGAGAAAGGTATTTTCATTACTCAGCCCCCTGGTCTTGGAATTCTCTCCAAGCCAACCTAAAACTCCAGGACCTGGTGTCCCTGGAGGAGTTCAAGGGACAAATAGATGAACAGGTGGTTGAGATGTAGTTGTTTCTAATTGTCACCCGATGTCACTAGTTTGCGTTGTCTTATGTAAGGAAGCATGTTGTATTATTTCACATACAGTGTGTTTGCTGTTGTATTTGTGCTGTTGCCAGTGTCGTCTGTCTGTGTTGTCCATTGTCTTACTTTTTTTGTTTTTTTTTGTTTTACCCCGTCCCCACCGGAGGCCTTTTGCCTCTTGCCAGACCATCATTGTAAATAATAATTTGTTCTTAATTGACTTGCCTGGTTAAAAAAAAAAAAGGTTAAGAGTATAAACAGTTGAGACAAGGCTAAATGAGATCCACTAGCAACGCAAAAACAATAATAGTAATCCATAGGTTTATTTATACATTGTATATAAAGGGGGGGGGAAAGGAATGCTTTAAAAATGGGAAAATCACAAGGTCGGAATTTGTTTAAAAAGTAATTTTTAATTATTGATAATAATTTATTTCAGAATTAGAAAAATATGTACTTAATACTATAAAGAATTAGGTATTGTATATATCTATGTTACAATAAATACATCAGGAAATCAAGCATGATAAAACAAAGGCAGAAATATTATATATATATTTTTTTCTATCTCACAAAACAATTGTAATGAGCATTATGGATAATGTACAATGTGTGTTGCTATGTTAAATCCAGGCCAGCATTAAAATATTCTACATTAGTCAACTTCATAAAATAACGATAAAGTTAAGTTCTCCCCATATTGTATTAAAATACTTTCACAGTTGAAAAACGAGTGAAATGTTAGTCAGTCTTCTTGTCAGATACTGTAGAAGCCGGTCCATTTGCAGCCGGCCCATTTGCAGCCGGCCCATTTGCAGCCGGTCCATTTGCAGCCACACCATTGACTTCAGTCTGAAAAGAGAGATGGCTTCAATAGTTAACAATTGACAATAGAAGTAGCAACAGTCTAGAAGCTTTGTAAACAACATGTTCACTCTAAAGCAGGGGTCTTCAACCTTTTCTTGCCCAGGGAGCCCCGCCCAGGCGAACCAGCGGGTCCCATCATATGTTAGCAAAAAATACTTTAGCACATTTATCGTCTACCATCAGGCAAGGAGAAGTAATCAACATTTTAAAATAATGTAGATCGTTTTTATTTTTATTATAATTGGAAGTGTAAACTCTTACATAGGCTATTAGATAGAAAGGTAACTCCAAACACATTCTCGCTTTAGTAGCTGTTTACTTGGTTAAACAAAGGTTAGCCATGTGTTGGCAAATATGTATTTAGTCGAGAGCTTACCAGCAGCACTTGCCGCACTGGTAGCCTATTGACTGGTAGCCGACCCCCCCTGTCTCAGCCTCCAGTATCTATGCTGCAATAGTGTATGTGCCGGGGGGCTAGGGTCAGTCTGTTATATCTGGTGTTATTCTCCTGTCTTATCCGGTGTCCTGTGTGAATTTAAGTATGCTCCCTCTAATTCTCTCCCTCTCCTCCCGGAGGACCTGAGCCCTAGGACCATGCCTCAGGACTACCTGGCCTGATGACTCCTGGCTGTCCCCAGTCCACCTGGTCGTGCTGCTGCTCCAGTTTCAACTCTCCTGCCTGCAGCTATGGAACCCTGACCTGTTCACCGGACGTGCTACCTTGTCCGGGACCTGCTGTTTTCAACTCTCTCTCTCTCTCTACCGCACCTGCTATTTCAACCTCTAAATACCTGGCAAATACAGGTGTGCCAAGCTTGTAGCATCATACCCAAGAAGACTCAAGGCTGTAATTGCTGCCAAAGGTGCTTCAACAAAGTACTGAGTAAAGGGTCTGAATACTTATATAAATGTGATCGTTTTTTTTTTTTTTTATATACATTTGCAAAATGTTCTAAAAACCTATTTTTGCTTTGTCATTATGGGGTATTGTGTGTAGATTGATGAGGGGGAAAAACAACTAAATCCATTTCAGAATAAGGCTGTAACGTAACAAAATGTGGAAAAAGTCAACGGGTCTGAATACTTCCCGAATGCACTGTATGCTAGAACATTGTTAACATTGTGGGAGGCAACCTGTCTGCCTATAGAGACTATGCATGTATATGTATTGGTGTCAAGCATTGGTGTCAAGCATTGGTGTCAAGCATATTGCAATGTGTGTCATGACTTCCTCAGCATGTGTAGCCGGTCTGGGGCTTGGTCACCGGACGTTGCTACAAATGCAGTCTACTAGTGACAGCACGCTCTCCTAGTCCATAATCCAATAACAGATTTTGGTTAATGTATTACCTTGCATGCTCCATTGCTCATCACTGGACATCCATTGCTCTTTTCACTGGCTTTCACATCACCAGTTCCTATACCACTCTCCTGGACAGCATTCTTTGTTGGCCAGAATCGGCTTATAAATGGACCAATGAAAGGGTAGATGATTGGTTCAAGGAACCTCTTGTACACCCACAAGAGGACTGGAATGACGATGCAGGGAATGCAGACCATGACTATAGCTTAACTGGACAGATCAAAGGACAACCTGCAACAGAGGGGACAGAGAAAACAAGGTCATTAAACAAATGTTGTTTCATTTAGTAGGCTAAATGGCTGCTCTTATCTACAGTTCATTCTGAAAAACTTCAGACACCTTGACTTTTTCCACATTTTGTTATGTTACAGCCTTATTCTAAAATTGATAAAATAAATAATTCCTCAGATTTTTTTTTTTTTAGAAAGTTTTGCTAATTTATTGAAAATAAAAAACAGAAATACCTTATTTACATAATTATTCATTATTGCTATGAAACTCGAAATTTAGCTCCGGGCAAGAAGGACCTTGGTCAGGGAGGTGACCAAGAACCCAATGACAGAACTACAGATTTCCTTGGCTGAGATGGGAGAACCTGCCAGAAGGACAACAGATTCTGTGGTCTGATGAGACAAAAATTGAACTCTTGAGTGCAAAGCGATATGTCTGGAGAAAACAAGGCACAGCTCATCACCCGTATAACACCATCCCTACCGTGAAGCATGGTGGTGGTGGCAGCATCATGCTATGGGGATGCTTTTCAGCTGCAGGGACTGGGAGACTGGTAAGGATAGAGGGAACAATGAATGGAGCCAAATACAGGCAAATCCTTGATGAGAACCTGCTTCAGAGTGCAAACGACAGACTGGGGGGCGAAGATTTACATTCCAACAGGACAATGACCCCAACCATACAGCCAAAGCAATGATGGAATGGCGCTGGGGGGAATAGCAGCCGTTTTACAGGCTACTGACCAATTGTGCCATTTTGTGTCTTTTTTTAGGCTGATCCTAACTTATTTTGTACATAAATGTTTCTGCCATTGTTTCCTGTGTGAAACAGTGACATTTCTTCTTTAAGGTTGTAGCCCCTATCATCGCCAAGCCTATCTCCTCTCTGGGGAGGTTCCCGTTGCTTGGAAGGCAGCCACGGTGCGTCCTTTATTTAAAGAGGGAGAACAAGCTGATCCTAAACTGTTGTAGCCTAATTTCTATTTTGCCCTGTTTATCAAAAGTGTTGGAAAAACGTATCAATAATCAACTAATTGGCTTTATTGATGTCTATAATATCCTCTCTGGTATGCAATCTGGTTTCCGCTCAGGTTATGAATGTGTCACTGCAACCTTAAAGGTCCTAAATTATGTCACCATTGCCCTTGATTCTAAGCAATGTTGTGCTGCTATTTTTATTCTTGATACGGTAGACCATTCCATTCTTGTGGGCCGGCTAAGGAGTATTGGTGTCTCTGAGGGGTCTTTGGCCTGGTTTGCTAACTACCTCTCTCAAAGAGTGCAGTGTAAAGTCAGAAGAACATCTGCTATCTCAGCCTCTGCCTGTCACCAAGGGAGTACCCCAAGGCTTCTCAATTAAAATCAACAACATAGCTCAGGCAGTAGGAAGCTCTCTCATCCATTTAGACGCAGATTATAGTATTATCCTCAGCTGGGCCCTTCCCGAATTGTGTGTTAAATGCTCTAGAACAAAGCTTTATTAGTGTCCAATAAGCTTTCTCTGCCCTTAATGTTCTGAGCACCTCCAAAACAAAGGTAATGTGGTTTGGTAAAAATAATGCCCCTCTCCCCACCGGTGTGATTACTACCTCTGAGGGTTTAGAGCTTGAGGTATTTTTATTTTATTTTATTTCACCTTTATTTAACCAGGTAAACCAGTTGAGAACAAGTTCTCATTTACAACTGCGACCTGGCCAAGATAAAGCAAAGCAGTGCGATAAAAACAACAACACAGAGTTACATATGGGGTAAAACAAAACAAAGTCAAAAATACAACAGAAATACATATATATACAGTGTGTGCAAATTTAGCAAGTTATGGAGTCACCTCATACAAGTACTTGGGAGTATGGCTAGACAGTACACTGTCCTTCTCTCAGCACATATCAAAGCTGCAGGCTAAGGTTAAATCTAGACTTGGTTTCCTCTATCGTAATCCCTCCTCTTTCACCCCAGCTGCCAAACTAACCCTGATTCAGATGACCATCCTATCCATGCTAGATTACAGAGACTTAATTTATAGATCGGCAGGTAAGGGTGGTCTCGAGCGGCTAGATGTTCTTTACAATTCGGCAATCAGATTTGCCACCAATGCTCGTTATTAGGACAACATCAATGCACTCTATACTCCTCTGTAAACTGGTCATCTCTGTATACTCATCGCAAGACCCACTGGTTGATGCTTATTATAAAACCCTCTTAGGCCTAACTCGCCCCTATCTGAGATACCTAGTGCAGCCCTCATACTCCACAAACAACACCCGTTCTGCCAGTCACATTTTGTTAAAGGTCCCCAAAGCATACACATCCCTGGGACGCTCCTCTTTTCAGTTCACTGCAGCTAGCGACTCGAACGAGCTGCAAAAAACACTCAAACTGGACAGCACATCTCTTCATTCAAAGACTCAATCATGGACACTCTTACTGACAGTTGTGGCTGCTTTGCGTGATGTATTGTTGTCTGTACCTTTGTGCTGTTGTCTGTGCCCAATAATGTTTGTACCATGTTTTGTGCTGCTGCCATGTTGTGCTGCTACCATGTTGTTGTCATGTGGTGTTGCTACCATGCTGTGTTGTCATGTGTTGCTGCCATGCTGTGTTGTTGTCTTAGGTCTCTCTTTATGTAGTGTTGTGGTGTCTCTTGTCGTGATGTGTGTTTTGTCCTATATTTTTAATCCCAGCCCACGTCCCCACAGGAGGCCTCTTACCTTTTGGTAGGACGTCAATGAAAATAAGAATTTGTTCTTAACTGACTTGCCTAGTTAAATAATGGTTACAAATAAATTGTGTGTAGATGGGTGAGAAAAACAATCTTTTCATCCATTTTTAATTCAGGCTGTAACAGTCTAATAAGTCAAGCGGTATGAAAACTTTCTGAAGGCACTGCGCTATTTCTATGCTTCCCGTTCTTAAATGTAGTTTTTGCGTCTACGCCGTGTGCTAGCTAGCAATATAAATATTTGTAGCTAGCACAGTGTCGCTAAATTGCAAGCTAGCTAGCACAGTATCGCCCAAGCCTCCTGCCTGCTGTGCTAACGTGGGCAACCGGTAGACAGTGTCCTTCGCCCCCACCTGTCAGGCACTGTTTTCCCGCAGTTCTGATAGACAACGGCAAGGGCAGGTGTTCAGCAGACGGGAGTGAATTACACTGTGCTATCTTAGCCAGCTAGTCCGGTACAAGGGAGGCGGGGGCTACACCGTGTGCTAAATGGCAAAAACACGGTGTCACTAACTAGCAAGCTAGCACACAGTATCGCCGAAGCCTCACACCTGCTGTGCTAATGGGAGGCAGGGTGTGACCGGTAGACCGTGTCCTTCGCCCCCACCTGTTGGGCACTTTCACTCAGTTCTGTTAACGATGGTGAGGGCAGGTGTTCGGTAGGCGGGCGCGAAGGATACTGTACCGGTGTCGACCCTGGTAGCTAGCAAGGAGGGAGGGAGGGAGGGAGGGAGGGAGGGGAAAAAACACAGATAATACTTTTATTTCCCTTTTGATCCACATTCAAAAGTGTCACAAGCATGAAGATGTTGTGCTTGAGGGGGGATGCTCGAGGTTGGCTGCAGTTGCACACTATTGGGAATATGTAACTTTTTGGGCGACCCGACCAAATTCACATAGAAATGTGTCTATAGATCTGTTATTCTCATTGAAAGCAAGACTAAGAACCGGTAGATCTGTTCGTTGTGCGCTATTTCTATGCTTGCCGTTGTCAAGTTTCGTTTTTGCGTCGTTTACTTTCTGTACACCAGCTTCAAACAGTTGAAAGTACTATATTTTTACTTATGAAAAATATATTTCACAGGAGGTTTAGATGGTAACATTAATTTACATGGTATTGTACTTAATCAGGTATAAACTGTTGAATGGTTACAAAAACGTGCTGCGATTGATTTATTTTGATGATATCCCAAGAATCTGTAAAACGGGTTTGTCCTGCCTAACACCAGAACCTAAGTTTCATTTTGTCCCCGTAACACTGTACTACATGGCAGACTGCTTAGCTGCACATCATTAAGGGCTGCTATATGTTTGTAAGTCCTGTAAGTTAGCTGTGTTTCAAAAATGTATTATCCTCCTAATATGGAATCAAGAAATTGGCAATAAACATATTCATCGCATCGTGCTAACGTTAGCAAGCTAGCCACTAAGCTACCTATGTACATTCCTCAACTTTAACAGTAACGTTAGCCTACAATAAGCCCATACGTTTGATATCTCCAGAAACCTTCTAAATAGCTATTCAAATAGCTTTTGATGCTTACCTAAATCAGAAAATATGATGATTTTTCCTACTGGATAACAGCGAATGGACGTTTCACTGTGGAAGTCTTTTGATGTTGTGCACAATGCGCAGACGCAGACTGACCATTCCATTAGTCTTCTTCTTCTGTGGGTTTTATGGCGGACTACAACTCAAATAGATGTATTGCCGCCACCAACTGGATGGGTTGAAAAACCAAAAAAAGGTAAAAAGAAAATCCATATGTGATAGGGAAACGAACTTAATCCACCCAAATAAAATAGTACATTGACAAAAACAAAACAAAACGCCAACATTTTCCTTCTTTCAAATCTCCATATTTCCGTTGTCAGACTCTAGGGCCTGAGAGGGTGGTACGGCTTGTGACAATATTCCATGTAACTCCTCCGCCGAGAAATCTTTCAGTCCCAGGAACCGCTCCGCCGCATCCACAATGATATCTATCTTCCTGAACCTTCTCTCCACCTTGGCAGTGCCATTAATCACCATAGCTATAAAGGCCACAAAGTCCACCTGTTTAACCTTTAAAATGTCAGGGTCCTGCTGGTGAAATCCCCTGCTGCCTGCAGTGAAGGCCTATGCACCACCATGGACTCTTCAAGAGCACCATTCAAACCCTCAACCCTTTTAACAGCTGCTGCATATGAAATCCTCTGGACAGCCCTGACTTTGGCCACCTCCTTCTCTTTCACCCTTGTCAGGCAA